CTCCAGCCATTAGTTACACCTAGCTGGTGTGTTCTAATATTAAGTAGGCAGAGGAGAAATCTCTTACAATTAAGAAATACCCGCAGTGGTGACATCTTTGTAAATATTTGATGCCATTTCCTGGAAATGGTAGGACAGGTTCTGAACACAGCTCATGAAATCATGTGATTGTCAGCTTGAGCTTTGGGGGCATCCACGTTCTTTGTATTTGTATTATTGTGAACACCTGCAAATTAAGTGAAGTTACACGTCATCAGCTCAACTGTGTGAACCACGCAGTGAAAGCGTCAGAACATTTGGTACAGTAATTCATGCCTGGGGATGAATTGTAATGACTTGTGTGGTTATTTAAAGTCAACGGAAATTAAATAGATTTCTGTTTGCTACGGCACACATGACGGACTTGTCATGGGTTCTTTTCTAAGAAAGAGATGACACGCCAAAAATGTGAATGGTTTTAAGCTTGCACCACATCCATCAGAACACCATTAGCAACACTGATGAACCACTTGTTGCTTGATTGCAGAAGCTCATATTTCTTGTCCTAAACACCTTGTCCTAAATCGGTCACTTGTAGACTACTACATTAGCTTCTTATTTGGAGCATGTAAGCATGCAGGCGTTGCCAATGGTTGAACTCAAAGACCTGCTGGCATGGCCGTTGTTAACACCCGGTCACTGACAAAGCGGTATTTGCAGTGTTCCTATAGCCTTTCCTTCCCACGCTCTGGAAAGAATCCAGAAGAGCGCGTTAATTCCACCGGCTGCAAGCTGCAGGAACGGGCTGCTCGTCAAAAGCAGGTGGTCCCGGCCACAGGTGTGTTTCTCAAACTGAAATGGAGCCACATCTGTTGAAACAGCACAAGGGGTCCCAATAGCATCCTGGCACACAGCCCGCCAACATCTGTTTCCCATGTGCTGTGTGCAGCAGTGACAGAGAGCCGTGTAAGCCTCAGTCACTCACCCAAAAAGAGAAGCCCCTGGGAAAAGAGGAAGGACGCCAGAGACGTTAAAGACAGTACAATTAATTTGCAGCTCAGTCATGCAGCCTACTTCTTCCGTAAATCGACCAGAAAATAGAATTTCTAGGCATAAAATTCCCTGAGAGGTAACTGAATGATTCCGTAACACAATTTTCGGCAAAGCAGCCGCTTTGGGGAACTAAATTGCATACGTGGTGGTGTGACGCATGGTGGGTGTTTGTTAAAGCGCTGCACACCACCACCCTTGTGTGTGCTGACTGAGACACTGGTTAACGGCTGTCTAATTAAGACAACCTTAAAATTGTACCAAAACATGCCAGGGGTTGCTGGCTGCAGCATCAGCATCTGCCTCCCTCTCACATATTCTCCGGCTCCTTCTCTTTCCGGAAGGCAGCGGGAGCCGCGGCGTGCTCGGCTCGCTCAAGTGTCACTGTTCTTTTTAACGCGAGGAGCGCTCGCCAACTGTTAAAACGGGCAATGTCTGTCCTCAGATCTTCAGAGGCTCCGGGTAGATCAGAGGGCGGCTGCCGCACCTCCGGGCAAATCGACGGCAGCGCGGCGGAGATCCTTTCGGAGCCGCTGGACCCCCCCTGAGATGCACCGGGGCTGCCCAGGAAGAGATTTCAAAGAAACGAGCAGCTGCTCGATTGATTTTGGTCGCTGCGTCTCCAGAACCGTGTCGGAGAGGCGTTGTCGTGGAATTCTAACGGGCCTTTTATGTCCGCTAATCCGAGATGAGATAATTGATTTGGTTGATAAATGATTTTTTGGGGGGTGGAAAAGTTAGCTATGTAGGTCAGCGCCGAATCCATGAGCGAGAGGCAATTAAAGCTACTAAGTTCCCAACATTTGTAGATGTTAAAATGCTCAAGAGAAGAACATTCAGTTTTTAATTACAGCGTATTAGCAACCGTGCAGCTAGTGTGTCGACATTATAAGAACAACGCTAAGCAGTATTTGGGAGATTTGCGGCCAAGATTGTGGCCTTCGTTTAATAGGAATGAATATCGCATATGTTAATCCCTTCCTTGGCGTTTCCTGCTTAAGTAATCATTTGCATGATAATATACATCCTGTGGCATCCAAAACAGGATGAAGGGTGTGTCAGTGTTTAGAGGAAGAGAGAGGATTTCGCTGTTTATTCACAGACCCGTCCAACATCTTTCATTTTCTTTTCTTCTCTCCCTGCCAGCTACCTCCGGCGACAGTGTTTTGCCTAAAATGCTGAACGAACCCTGTTTTCCTGGAGACAATACCTCCACGCTTTATTTCCAGGAATTATTCCTCCTGGCTGTGAAGCTTGGCTCGGTGCTCCGCTGTATCCAATTAGCTTCGCACCCACAGCGGAGGCGACCCTCCACAGGCCCCCAAAAAAGTGTTGAATAGGTCATTTCACGGATGAGCACGACGTACTGTTGAACCCCCCCCCACCCCGTCCAGAAACCCACGGATATGTAAACGCCTATAGCTCGGAAAGGCTGACGTAATGCAAAGCATTGAATCTTTAAAATCGTGACACATATCGGCTTGGGCGAAGTGCCTGGTTGGATGAAAGAGAGTTACGGGCATTGAGAGGGAGGATTTACGGGCCTCTTATGCGCAACGTTAAATTAGGTGAGTCATCAGATGCTCCGGGCCATTTGCAAAAGGCCCTCAAGGGTTGTTTGTCTTGGAGTCGACCCCTCTGACATTTATGAGGCCTTGGCAAAGAGAAAAAAGCAAGATTGCCCACCTACGACAAGTGAGATAAAGGTCCGTGCGGAAAACAAAAGACGCTGCGGCGAGGTCTGCAAAATGTCTTACGGTGCTGGCAGCTCCCATTTTAACTTTGAAGATGAAACCTTCTGATGGCAGATTTGTTTTAGGATTTCGGGCTCGCTAGGGTTCCTTTCATCTCAAGCCTACAAACCAGGTAGTGTGCATGGTATACGGTAGAAAATCACATCCAATATTTCAAAAAACGTACATTTCCCAATGAGAAATCGTCCCGAGATGGCTGCTAAACGCAGTGTGGTCTTCATCTCGTTATTCCTCGAGCTACAAAAAGACTGGCATTGCCGAACAAAGTCGCACACCGAATAACTCCCACCTTTGCACACAGATAAAGCAGAGGGACAAAGCTGACAACAAAGAGTAAAACTCACGTTTTTATCAGGGAATCTTTACTTTGTTAGAGCAAGAAGTAGTGCAACATTTTAGAAAATAACGCTTATTCATCATCACGAGAGAGATTTATGCGAGAAAAGCAATATGACTCTCATGTTCGCTGAATATGAGACAATATACTATTCCAATAAAGTGATGAATGACTCTTGTACACCACTTCACAAAGTGCTCCTGTAGCCAAACTAATGCACTGTTAAAGCTCAGAAGGAAAGCAATGTGTGTCTTTGCCTTGCGTCATGCATGCAAATTCTGCCGCTGGATCCTTTCTGTTTCTGTTTATTCGGCCCAACGTACCAACCGCACAGACAGCTGTAAGCTACATCGCGGATGACATTCACATGAAGGGTGATTGAGTTCAGCTCAGCCTCTGACTGCTTTCCCATCTCACCAGGAACTCCTACTTATTGCGCTCCAGTCTCATCCGGAGACACATCGGGTTGACAAGCAGTTATGTTCCACGCGTGCGTAAAAACATTCTGCATCACGCGTGCACTAAGTTCAGCACACATTTTAGCTGCATTGGCAAAAAAACTTGAAAAACACTTACTGGCTTAAAAAAAAAAAATATTGAAATGAGACACTTATTGCAGAATAAACAACGCCGTGCAACATTTATTGTGGATGGAAAAAAAACAAAAGGCATCCAGCCCGAGTCAACTGATTTATTAGGGGGCTACGAGCAATTTCTGTGCTGGCTTGCAATGTTGTTTTTACTAATCATAGCAGTATAATGTTCCTGCATGGGTGAGTTTTTTTGCCTGCAGTTATCTTAAATTAAGCAGCATGCATGGCACGCTCGAATCGCACAATTATTCGAGTCCTTCTCTCCCCCAACTCATTAACTATTCAATGTGAACTCCTGTTCCTGCGGGGTGTTGACATTAATTCCCCACACTGTTGGAAGAAGCACTCCGAAAGACCGCAAACGTCGCCCGGGCCGCCTTTTAAAAGGCGCCTTTTTTACAAAACAAACTAACCCATTTGCTTATTTGTGTGCCGCAACCTGCCCCGTTCGCACGCTGCATTATTAAGGCGCGTGCTAATTACGCCTTCCGCCGGCCCGTGTCCATTACGTGCAACGCAAACAACGAGCTCATCAGCGGCGGCGAGAGCCCTCGTGTTGTTTAACAAGTTGTTGATGACAGGCTTTAATCCCGCGCTGACATGATGAGGTAGACGTGTTACTGGGATCCCGTTCTGCTCCTGCCTGCCTCAACCAATCCCGTTCCGGCAAGCGCGGTCTTCGCCTTGACCTTGGGCGGCGGATTTCCTCGGGGGTCGGGGGGGGAGGGGGCGGGTGGGAGGGAGGGCACGGTGGCCACTGTGGAAGTCGAGAAAACCTAAAAGGTTGAAGGTGGAGGAAAAGCGCGGCAGCTAGTGCTGAGGCAGGCAGGAGAAAAGCATGAATGGCCGCGAAAGTCGGAGAGCATCGCAGCCAACCGCAACAGAGGGGAAATCTGCGGGCCAATCGCAGGAAAGTCTCCTTTCTTCCCCAACACCACCCCCCCCCCGGCCCGGGAGGCGTCTCCCCGGACTTCTTCTCCTTGACTGTTACAGGGTCACAGCGCCTGCCTCCCCGCCGCCTCTCAATAATCTGTTTCATTGGGTCAGTGTGCCTCTCACAACGCGGCTGACTGGCTGGTGGGGCGGACGCGGTTTCTAGGGAGCTGACCCAATCGGAGAGAGGCAGAAGTCCCCCCCCTCCCCCCCCCCCCCCCCTTCCCTCCCTCCCCCAATCCCTCCCTCCGGTTTCTAGGCAGGCTTCACGTGCTGTAGATGTTTTGGCGGGAGAGTGAGGGAGCGGGAGGGGCGGCTGCGGGGTGAAGTGGAGCGTGTGATCGTGGGCGCGTGCGAGTTCCGTGTGCATGTTTTGCAGGCGCGTGTGCATTTCGCCCTGCCTCTTGCTTTCTGATGCAACATTGAACTGTGTCTCCTGGGCTACTAGGGGACCTTGTTATGTTTTTTTTTTTTTTTCTTCCTGTCCTCGCAGGAAACGAGAACCAATTGCTGTGCTGTTGCCATCGGAGCGGGGAGGTTTGTTTTCCCTCCACTTTCATCCCTGGTACCTCCCCATCGACAGTTACCGTAGAAACAAGAGCAACTCCGACTCTATTTCCATCCACGTCTCCTTCCTGCAATGATTTATCGTTGCTTTCTTTTTTTAATCCACCGCACAGCACCTACCTACCAACACTCTAGCAGCCAATAAAATATTCAGAAAATTGTGTGACATCTCTCCAAAGGAGCTGTATATAAGCAGAAGATGAAGAACTGCAGAAGCACATGCTGAGATACTTCTCTCGCAGTGCCACTTGAACTTTTCAGCTCTCCAAGCTTTAAGACGTGTCAAGATCGCAAGGTTAACTTTTTGTGTTTCTCCCAAAAGCTCGGTCTACCCCACCCTGAAAACAAGCTCCGACATATCTTTCTCCAGCATCTTGTCTCCCCCGTCCCCCTTGAACTCTTTGTTACCAGCACATTCGGCTACCCAAAATCCCATTATTGCTACTCGAGTGCACGCTGACTTCCGTGGAATTAAACTGGAGAGCAGCAAGGTGAGTGGACGGACTATCACTATGTGCACCCACTTCATTCTTCCTCAGGAACGCAACGACGAAGGGTTGAGCGACCTCAAAACGACACAATCACTTCTATGTCAAAGTCACAAACGCCGGCTCTACCAGGCGATACCAAGGAAACCAGATTTTATTATATATGCCGCCTTGTAAGAGGATAGTTGGTTGACTAAAATGTATTTCTCATTTTTGCAGGGGTGTTTTGCAATCTTAACAATATGGCACAGAGATTTAGAGAGATCCACCACCACGCTGACTCTGAGCCACGCCAAATAAAGGGATCGCTACTTCCTTCATTCGCACTGAATATGAAGACATTGAGGATACAGAAGATACAAGGATTGGTTGTAAAAGAAAAGAAAGAAAGCCTGATGTTGTAGTATTAAACAGTGGTCACACCAAACTCTAATATTTATAAAATCCTGGTTCGGAGCTGCACAAACAGCTTGCCTGTGCAGTGAAAGATCATTACACAATATCTCTATATATTCCAATAAAAAGCAGTTTAAACAATCAGTTTTTTTCTACAACCTGTCTGATACTTGTTTCTGCTCCAAATATAAGTTGCCAGCTTCTAACATCAGTTTCACTGGTGAGTGAAATTATATCTTAAGATCCAAAGTCCCAAAAAAAACAAAACATCCTTTAGGTTCCCATAGAAGCCGGCTTTTACGTTTCTGCACAACCATCCTTGTACGGCGGTCCAGTTTTGTAATGTGGCGGTTTGCTTAAAAGCACTTTGTCAATGGTAATTAAAAAGGCTTTTCTGTTCAGCGTGCGTCCCGACTGCAAGGCCGTCCTAAAAGCTTGGCTCGAGTGCTACTGAAGAGAAGAAATGAAAGAAATGGAGGGGAAAAGATATCTAGTGGTAACAAATCAATCCGTTATGGCTGATAATGTTCTTTAAAACCAAACCGGTGTGCTCAATGATACGTGTGCGTTGTTTCATGATCGATCACAAACGAAGAGTAACATCAAACTGCATTTGAAGTATTAAAAGGTACGGCTCAGCGACAGTGAACTGGAACAATGTAATAACAACAACGCACATCGGGGCGGTGTAAGGACACCTGCAAATTGGATGTCGGGACTGTTTTGGATGTTGCGAGTAGAATCATGCCGTTAGCAGTCTGCCTGACAAACACTTTGTTTACCGCCTGAGCTGCCGCCGCTCAGCTATCATCAGGCGTCCATTTATTTCAACTTTCCCGTCTCAGCTGGAAACATAACAAACTACAACACACACTGCGACAAGTTCCTTTCAACACAACACTTCCAACCCAGTATTACTTCTTTCGTTCTTGGCATTAAAGTGGTGTCAAAACACGCATAATGGTATGGGTTTCCCTCGGGTGGTTTTGGGCTTCAAATGCGTTACCTTTAGATGAACCCGACGGGAGCCCCGCTCATTGGAAGAGCACCTGCCGTACCTGTGGTTCAAATCCAGAAGTGTTGACAGAACGGGCAGAAGGAGGAGGGGCTGGAGGCGGGCAGAGGTTTCCAGTAACCTGTGAAAACTTGCCATCTCTGTCATGCAGTTTCACAATCAATTTACGTGAAAAACAACCCACCCGAAACAGGGATTTGGGTAGTTGATTTAATGGAGTAGGGGTCGAAACCATGAAATTGCGACGTGAAAGTGAGTGGAGCACAAGCACGAACGCTGTTGTTTGGGTGCGGAACGGATTGAAGATGGAAGACAAAAGCGTCTGGACGTCAGGCACCATTAGGGAAAAAAGCCACAAAGCAAATTGTGTCATTATGCAGTGAACTTTGAAATATTTCAACATCCAGAGCCTCGTCACCTCTTCTTGGCAGCACGTGCTCAGAAATAACTCGCAGAGGATCTTTTTTTTTTTTTTTTTTACTTCCTCGCTGGGGAAAATTGCTTGAGCTGGGACACATTGTCTGCCTGCTGCACCTGACACTTTAGAGGTACTGGAAGTTTCAGTTTAGATGACAAGTTCTTAGTTCAGCGGCAAACACAAAGACTGTTTTCCCTCTTCAAAGGCAAGCAGCGCGCTTGAAAGTGAAAGAATGCAAATGACTTAAAACAGTGCATGAGATTGCGCAACGCATGACGTCTGTGTTTCTGACGGCACATGATGTTCTCTGCCGAAACAGAGAAAGAAGTCTGATTTGCAACACAAATGTGGCTAACAGCTCCACGTGCAGTGACGAGACGTCGCCAAAAGTGCCGTTCATCTGAGGAAAAGCGACTGCGTGCCCAAGAGTCCGTTTACAAGGGGGTAACTGGACGCCATTGAAGTGCACTGTTCTTGGAGCTACTGTTTGGGAACATTAATTAGTTATTGATGAAGGGAACTCGGGGGAGGAAAAAAAAAAGCGATTCGATCTGGTTTCTTTTTTTTTCCAATGCGGCACATAGTGGGCTAATTACTTTTTTGGAATGTTTTACCTTTGACAAGTTCTTTTAAATGACCACATCAAAATGATGCAAAAACAAACGTTTTTATTCTGGTGTTTTTGAAAATGTTTAGATACAGCTGTTTATTCTTTAAAGGGCGTTTTAATGATTTAAGTTTTCATATTACACAGCCGTGTCCTTATAGATGGAAAACTACTAGCAGTACCACTTTCTGCCAACATAAAATACCTCCACAACTACAAAATACAAATACCATCAAAGATAGAATACTCTACAATTGAGTCAAAATTAAGCTACCAAGTAACAACATCTATACAAGCAATTCTTCTTATTCACTTGGGTTACGTTTCTATTTTTAGCCTACATTGTAAATGCAACATGCAAATGGGTTTAAACGCTTATTAGAGTGTGGAGATTAAGCAAAATAGCAGAAAAACTTTGCTATTTTTTTTTTTCATTTTTTTTCATGTAATGCTGGAAATTTCAGCAAAAACAACCACCATGTGATCTCTCGTTCCAAATTTTGGGTGGGGTCCCTCTTGCTGCAGGATGGGAGTTGGAGGGCTTGGCGTGGATGGGGGGTTGGGAGCCATCAGGCGGCAGCTTAAACAAGGCTGAGCAGGGGTTGTTTGCTGGTCTGCCAGGGAACTGAGCATGGGAATGTTGTCAAAAGTTGAGAAAATCACACTTCACACGTAACCAGCTGTACAATGAAGGAGCGCGGCAGTGTGAAAACACCCAGCGTCCTGTGCAGGCTGACCCAACGCAAAAGCAACAGCCTCTGCTTTCATCTAGAAAATGTCCCCTGGGAAAGATCTGACTCACGCGATGGCTCAAACAGTCTCACTCTTCTTGACCGGCCGCTCTGAACTCACTAACCCCTGTTTTTTAACCCATTTTTTTTGCAGATGAGGCTTGATTTTACTGTACTTTTTTTTTCTTCTTCTGTGGTTTAAAGTGCCCCCCCACCATGCAATGAGGGTCACCAGCCGCGGCTGCTGTTTAGTTGACTGTCACAGTGCATCCATCAGACACCATGTGGAACAATGGAGGCCCTCAGGGGCTGAACTGAAAATGGCTCTATGCTTTTATCAATACATTGTTGTCAAGCCATCTATGAACTGCGCTATGTTACGTTTTGTTATTTTATGCTATAAGGTGCTGGTTGGTGTTATATATGCTATGTTATATTATACTATGCTATGTAAGGCCATGCTACACATTCAGCACAGTAGGCTGCTCGAATTACTTCTAATTCTTTCGCTTTAACCATTCTTATCTTTTGTCGTATGTTTAAATAAAACATGTTTAGACATAAAAACACAGAATATCTTGCTCGGCAAGCGGCGTGCATGTGTGCCCGTGATATTTCATTATCTATTTGTTGCCATGACAGTAGGCTACACAACTCGTCCTCCACAGCAGTAACTGGGTGGGTACAATCACTCTATCCAGCAGCAGCTCCCAATCAGCTGAGCAGGGGCTCAAAGAAGTCACATGCCTTATCTGCGGTTGTGTTTTTCTCCCCCCTCCACGTGTCAATATACACGAAGCAGGAGGCGGGACCAAAACAAACAATGTGATTGGTTCACTGGGTGGCAAAGGGAGGGCCGTTTTCATAAAGGGCCATAGACGGTTTATTTTTTTTTTCACCTCTCAAAAACAACACCGCGAGAGCTCAACATTAACATTAAACCAGTTAAAATGTCCATCGCCTTTTAATGTTGCTGTTTGAAATTCCGAAGGTATTTGGCACCCGAACGGAGAATGGTGGATGTATTTGGTAAAATATTACATCAACCCATTATGAGGTGGCTCATAGTTTAATACATCTACCAGCCCTGTTAAACTCAAGGTAATGCCAATCAACATTTTGCATACTAAATATACACACGTGTGCCAATACGAGGTACAATAACACACCCGCGCAGCTTCCACATTATGAAGAAGGGGCGGTCCCGCGTCATCGGGGCGGAGCGGGTTTTTTTACACAGGGAAGAAGAAAAAAAAAACCAACCTCCGCTCGAGTCAGCAAACATGTACGAGTGGCTGTAATGCAAAGAGGGATACAAGTCACATCCACGCAGTCCGCGGAAAACCACGCAAGTTGTCAAGATACCACCGATCGCAACGGAAAGCGCGTTTGCTGGCGGTGAGTTTTGCGGTTGTTTTTCTTTAAAAAATATCCCTTCTTGTTTTTCCCCCCTTTTCTCAAATTAAAAAAAAAAATAGGAAGAAGTGGTTCCACCGCACCGTCGTGTGCGGCGTTGTTTTCTGGATGATTTGTCAACAAATGTGCGGGCGGCTCGGGCATGCCCGGGCAGAGGCGGGGGCGACGCGAACTCCCCGGTGCGTCGGCATATGGAAAACGGGGTGCTTTTTTTGTTTTGTTTGTTTGTTCCTTTCACAGTTGTATTTGTCTCCCGTTTCCTTCACTTCACTTCGAGATTATTTCATCTCGTCTCCGCGGACGGGGTGAACAAACGATGGAAGCGACTGCCTCCATCCGTCGGCTCCGCGCGCGCGTGGATTCTTCCACTCATGTCGCGCCCGATCTGTCGGGATACAATTTGGTCCGTTTTTAGTTAATATTTACCGATTATTAAGACGCTGTAGCTCAACGGCGCACGGTGGGATGGCTCGCCGGGTGGTTTGTTGTCGTAAATGTGTGTTTTGTGCGACCCATCGCCTCTTGTTATTTCGTGTTTGTTTTGGGGAAGAGTTGTCAAGCGAAGTGCGAGAGAAAGTGTCAACGCAGGCGAACCGCAGCCATGCGCGTAATGTTTATAACACGTTTATGGAATGATAGTTTGTGTAATAAATCAGCGGATTCCTATAGTGAAAACTTTTACCTGATTTTTCTTTTCTTTTCTTTTTTTTGGTAGCGAGAAAAAACACGCGTTTTTAGTCCACCATCCCGGCTGTGGCGGGCATCGCGCGCGCGCGCATCCCGTTTTGACGGGTTTCCATCACTGTATCGCGGCCGTCCGACGGAGATATTGGGTGAACGTTGCGTCGACAAGCGACGAGCGATCGGACTTGCGCGTGTTTCCGCGCCGGGCTGCACCGGAGGGACGCGGGAGGAAGGACGCGCTGCGTCGCCTTCCGGACCGCGCGCGACGCGTGGCCCCTTTGGTGCGCAGTTAGCAGGCGAACCGCGCACGGAACACTTCTGCATCTCGGCGGTAACTTACATAAACAACAAAATGATCACCCCCCCCCCGCCCACACACACACACACACACCCATGATGCAACGCGTTTAACGTTACATAGGTCTCCGGATTGGATTGTGTCGTTTTTACCGGGCTTCTTCCCCTTTCTTCCGATGTGCGTGACTTTTTCGGAGCCTTGTCACCGGTGCATTGACGTCTACGGGATAAGTAGACCCCCGGTGCCGCGGAGGCAGTGGCGCACATTAGCAGCAGGGCTCACCTTGGGTTTACCCCCACCCTGAGTGGTGCATGGAGCAGAGCCCAGTGCGCAGATGGCGCAGCAGAGGGAGCCACTTTCTGCGGCAGCTCTGAGCCTCTGACCGGCCCTGTGCAGGCTGCCCCGGGCAGTGTGTGAAGCAGTGTGTGTGTGTGTGTGTGTGTGTGTGTGTGTGTGTGTGTGTCTCGTTCTGTGTCTCCCTGTCTATGTTTTTCTTTTTATGTGTCTGACACTATTGTAATCGTGCCAGTCCTCTGTTGACTGCCAGTGGAAATGTCAAGACGGGGCTTGTCTTGCTTGCCGACCAACAACACAAGTGCATAATTGATGTAGTTGAACTTGTGGTACAGTTGCAGAGGAGCCCGTATACCGCATTGAATAATGGACTAATTATTAATTTTGCCCTAGAGGCGACGTCAATGCAGGTTAGTGCTGGTTTGTGTCTCTGTAATACACAACTAATTAGCTTGCATTGACCAAATGGACCGGTTTTGCCATTAAATGCCCTTAGTAGAGGGTCAATCATTGTTTCTTTTTGTTTACCAAAAAATGACTCGCATCTTACGCCATAATAATGAGATTGGATAATTGGACAACAGCGGGTTTTTCCACAGTTCAAAATGCGGTTTCCTCATTTGACTCCATATGGTATGACATTGACTAATCACGTATCAGCGTCAGTCAGCAAAACACACAATCCAAGTGTATTCACTTTTAACTCGGAACGGCCAACGCCGGTCCACCCACGCCGCAAAAGAAGTGGAAAAAAAATCAAGGCACCCGTGGCAAAAAAAAAAGGTATGCAACACACCACGCTCACATCAGTGTGGCGCGTGGCCCACGAGTGTGAGTGTTTGTGTTGATTGTGTGTTGACCACTCACGGACGAGGACGGAGTGAAACTCATTATCTCCCTCACGAAACGGCACATGACAGTCGAGCCGGGACTTTGGTTTCACTGAGGTTTCACTCACACTCTATCCGCCTGCTGTGTGTGTGTGTGTGTGTGTATTCAGTTTGGAGACAGGCAGCTATCCAGTAATTATGTGGTTTAAATAGAGGTGTGTGGGGGGCAGGTGTTAATGTTGAGCTGAGGCAAATCTCTGTGACTCCGCTCCGTGGCGCACGGTTCCAGATTAAGCTTTTAGTTTTGAGGAAGGAGGGGTCCAGTTTTGCAGAAACAGTTTGATAACCGAAATCTGCGGAGGGTGGGTGGCGGATTTGGAGCGACGGTTTGAGCTGCCGCTGCACAGGGTGTTTCCTTACGTTTGGCTCATCGCTATAATGACAAGAGACGGTCTGGTGTGTTTACGTTGGCAGATCCGTCTGTGTCCCTCTGAGGCGGTCCGGCGCCGCTTGTTTGTTTTCAGCATTTGCCTCACACAACATTAGCCCGTTGCCTATGTGACTGATGATTTGTTTTCATTTAATGCAGCAGGCCCGGACCCTCCTCACTGTGCCAGGGGGCAAAGTTTCAACTGATAACAGGATGATAGTTGGCATATTTAGTTTGGCCTCAGAAACGAATCACACCCAAATTACCAGCCAGCTGAAGAGCATAAACACACATGAGTCACACACAGTTCCGTGAATGGCCTTTTTTTTCTTTTCTTTTTTTTTAACACACCACATTCCAAAAGACGTTTTCACGTCACGCTAAAGTTTCCGTCTCGTGTCCCCTTCTCCTTCTCCAGGGACTTTACCGCTGAGCCGTCGGATGGATGATGAGGAGGAGGACATGTCGCGGCCCATCTCGCACCTCTGGGAAATGCCCTTCAGGGACCTCAAGTACGACGACCGCGCCACACACATCGGACAGGCCGGACGGGCCCTCGCCACCGCCGCCGCCGCGCCCACGTCGCAGGGCCACAACAACAACAACAACGACGTCGACGCCATGCCTTGCATCCTACAACTGCAGCCTCGCGTACCCTTTCACAGTAAGCACGCAGTGTTTAGCAATGGAGCGCGCCGCTGCGGCGTTCGCTTTCGTCCGTCGGGTCGCCGGGGTCGCCGAGTGATGAACAGCTTCCGCGTGAGAGCGGGAGGCGGCTGCTTTAGTTCTCTAGAGTCGTCACCACAAAACCGTCAAGATACTTCCAAACTGTGTGTTTACTGAGAAGATTTTCATTCATCTATACAAGTAATAGATAAACGTACTACTTAAATCTGACAAATGAATTGTATTCCAGCCAGCTTCTTTTTTTGAGGGGGGGATTTTAAATGAACATTTTTGAAAAATGAACAACCAACAACACTGAGTTCATACATACATAAAGGCGCATACCGGCGCTAATACGACCATCACTTTTAATCCAATATAGTTTTCCATCTGTAATCAAATCAACGTGACATTTCCCTAATCGAATTGAACGAAGGTTAAAGCAGAATGTTGTTTGTTTGCCGACTCGCTGTCGGTGTGTGAGATGTGCATATTGTTCTGGGTTTAAAAGTCGCCAACACACAAACACCACTGACAGTTGTTATCTTGTCATACATGGTAATCTCCCCGCTAATGGATGACGTGCACCTGGCCCCGCGCCATTTCCTCTCTCGCACAAAAGTCCGGGGCCGCTGTCCGTTTCTTGAAAGTGCCGCGGTCCTCGGTGGGGCGGAATAGCAGGGCATTCTGCACACATGACAAGTGTGTTTCCCCTCCAAGTGGCATGACTGCAGAAGCGCATGCTGGAGGCGCTGAGTAAACCCAGTGACATAACAGAGAAGAAGAAGTTCACCGAGGTCGTTGTTGATTTAATAAGTTGTTTTCCCGCCTACCGACACTCCCTCCTTCTGGTTTAGTGGACTCTCGTCCATCTGAGAATATCTGATAAAACCTGTTCATTTCAGAAAGCAATTTTATTTGACTTCACAGGTCAGACACCTCAGTGTTAAACTGTGTTTTCTGTAGTTTTAACTGAGCCGCTATCAGCGATCTCTCTCCGCCTGGTGATCAACGTCGCTCTTGACACAAAAGCCTCCCTGCATTTTTTTTTTAGAGATCCGACAACCACGGCGAGTTTTAAGAAGCTGGCTGTTCTCCTTTCAGGCAACGCTGGATTGCGCTCGCATTTCCCCGCTCAGTTCGAGCCCACGGAGGACCGGGGAGAGAGGCGCGTCGAAGGCGAGGAGGAGCAGGAGGAAGAGGGCAGAGGGGAGGAAGATGGCAGGATGGCGGAGAGGCCCGAGGAGCAGCGGGCCGGGGCGAGCGTGGAGGCGCAGATCGGCCGTAAGCTCCGGGAGATCGGAGACAAGTTCCAACAGGACCACGTCGAGCTGGTAAGCGGATCAGTGGGTCGCTTCAGCACGGAGACTGTATGACCTTCATGCCCCCCCCCCCCCCTCCTGCCCCCCACCGAGGGAAAAGTTCATGGAAAGATCGCAATCGTAAACATGCGAACATGTTCCCGCTCACACGTCTCTGTTCCCCTTTGGCCAGATGTGGCATCACTGTGTGTTTGATAAGAGATCCACTTAAGTCACGTCGACATGACCTCAAGTTAATGAGTACAAATACGCGGAAGAGGCACTTAACTGGGCGTAATGGTGCAAAAAAAAAAAAGAAAAAGGCAGCGAGGGAAAGAGTGCAAAGAAAGCGGCGAGAGAGAATTTGAGGAAGAGCAGGTGCGATCGACGCGACTGTCGCCGACAGGAGTGAGCAGCACGTCTGTGTCTGGGTAGACTTGGCCGGCTGTTTATACGGCGTCTAAAAATAGACTCTGACTCACGGCTACCCACAATACCTCAGTCGTCCCGCTCGCCGCCTAAGTGCGTGTGCCTTTGTGTCTGTTTTGGTGGTGTGTGCGCGCAACTCTGTGACAGAGAGATAAGAGAGGAACTTTTCTCTTGTGTCTGCTCGTCTGCGCTGGTGTTTTTTTAATTTATTTTTTTTTAAATCCTGGATCTGGTGCCGCTGCTGTAGAAAAAGGGAATAATCACTCACGAGCACTTATGATATCCAATCACTTCTCCTGCATCGTGTCCGCCGCTGTTGTTGGACAGTTTTCGCTCGAGTCCTCCAAGCAGAAGTAGCTTGTTGTTGTGAAGTAGATTTGTGGTTTTGGCCTTCAAACGTAAAGGCTCGTGCTTTGATTAAAAAAGCAAATTCATTCTAGTATTAGGCACTGTTTAACCAAGCCCGGCAGTGTAGAATTTAAAGCAATTAAGAACAATTAGGGTTACATTTAGCCGTGCCGGTTCACTTCAGCTCAGCCTGCCAGTTCTGCATCAAATAGCCCGTGGCGGGGGAGGTTGGGGGGGGGCTCGGATCGCGAGGCTGCTGGAGACCTTGATGGAGGGAGCCTGCAGACAGTTGGTAAAGTGAGCGCTTATGCAACGGGCTGCAATATCTGGCTGCTCAGAGAGCCGGAGGGAGCCGTGCAGGATCAGAGATAAGGGCGGGGTGGTGGTGGGGGGTGTAGGCTGCCCCCCCCAAAAGAGAAAAAAAATAACAGTTCAAACGGCGGTTTTAGCAGTTTTATTTTTGCTGCTCTTGTTACGAGAGCGCCGTGATGAAATAGGCAGCGCGTCCTCTGAAAGCCTTTGAGGAAGTCAACAGTGCGACATCTGATCAGAGGGGAAGCCTCCCAACCCGAGGCGGGATGGTTGAGTGACATTAGGGTGATAAGAGGCAGCTCCGGGGGTGGGGGGGGGTCTTTTAGCCCGGTCATTTTCATCCTATGGTGTAAAAAAACCAACAACAACCAAGTGTTCCAATGAACTCCCGTCTGGGAATGTGAGCCCCTGACAAATCCTGACACTGTACGCTGTGTCGGACGTGCGTGCGACAGACATGTTGGCTAGACACAAGCTAATGTTGTGGAAACATCCACCAGACTCGTCACGCAGGGCTTTTTACCACAGCGCACGGGGGGGGGGGGGGGTTCGTCGTAGTGATTTGACAGGCTGACAAGCTGATGATCGTTTCTTCTTTTTTTCTCCCTTTTTTTCTTTTCCCCTTCTGCAGTTCATGAGGCATCAGAGACAAAACCTGCCCGCCTGGATGCGCCTCACGATGGCCCTGTTTGGCTTCCTGTTTCCCAGAGAGGCCCTCTTCCCCCGGCTGCGAGGAGAGCACAGATGAAGAGGCTTCCTGCCGGGCCCCTCGCCTCAGCCACTTGTTCCACAGGGACAAGGGACCAGACATTTAAGATGGCACTGTAAGATGGAACACGGGTTTTGGATTTTGTTTTCTAGTCGATCCTCGAAAGACGAGATGAAGAAAACACCGGTCCCCGCTGGACGGAGGCTGATTACAATTTTTTTGGTTTACTTTTTGGGGTTCTTTTTTTTTCTTTCTCCGCGTCTCCAAGAAGAAGCCATTGCGATTGAAGAGATATTTTCGAAATATTTGTAAGATTACCTATTTTGTACAGTAAACTGCTCTTTTTCGTTTGGTATTGAAGGACCTCCATCAGTCCGGGGGAATGCCTTATTCTCTCCTGCCACAGTACTTTTGCGTCAAGGAAATCATAAAATATAGAGATTCATTTTAAGATTAGCCTTCTTTCTTTCTTTGGGGCGACAAACTGTGGACGTGGACGCGGACTGTGCTAAAGTCACTGACTTCAGACCTCGAGGACTCGAGGCCCGTTTCTAATTTATTCTCAGTAAACAAAAAAGAACAATAAGCCCCCGTACCTTTCCTTTAACGTTCCACACCGGCCAATTTGAAAGTGGTTGCCACGACATTGTGCCGGCGCTACTCGCTGGTGTCGGGTCAGTCCAGATGTTTTACCAGCTTCCACTGTAGTTTATATCCAGCTGTCTCATCCATCGGCCCCTACATCTCCAGCACTACCCGCGATGTCGTTAGGAAGGGGCCTAAAGATCCGACGTGTCGATTCAGATCCTGTCGATCAAAAGGGCAAAAAACAAACAAACCCCAACACGTATGCTTGAATGTAGGTGTACCGAGGATATTCGGATCGAGTGACTTCAATACCTGACGTAGTCGTGACTACTTACTGGATTTATGAACATGTGTATTTAGGAGTGCGTGCTTACTGTTTCCAAAATCTGCAGTCGTTTTCAAACCAAATGAGCACAAGCGAATCTCCGCCGCGGGATCACGATCAGGGAAGTGAAAATGAAACAATCACAGAGCTCACAAACGCCTGTCGTATTCTGAAGCTTCTCCAGGCTTTCTGTCTCTGGCCGGATCGACAATCGAAATCTCGCCCTTTTGCGGCGTTTTTTAAGGGGAGAGCAATATTCAACCCAGTGGAAGGAATCCGAATCTTAGGGGTCTGTCGGATTTTGCGATCAAAACCGATGTACGTCCCAAAATACGGCTCTGTGAAAGACTCCCCCGAGCAAACGTTTGGGGTTGAAGTTACCGAGATGCATTTTTAATGTCATTTCACGCCCGGCGAGAATGTCTCCAGCACTGATTCAATCCCCATGTGCTGACACATTTACGTGTCCCCCCCTTTCGTTCGAAGTGCTTTCTTTCACCAAACTGCCGGCGGTGTATTCAGCTTCACGGAGGATTTAGTGAGAACAGCTCCTGTGCAAACATCTTTACTAACACACACACACACACACACACATCTGGGTGAGAAGGTTCAGACAGCCGCTACGTTCTCAAACGTCTCTCAATTGAAGGTTTATAAAGGAATAACTTCCTGATCCGATGTGTTATTTCAGTCTGTTGTAGATTCACGATATGAACTTTTGAAGACACTGATTGTTTTTGTTTCTTTCTCTTCCGTTTTCTTCGGGGAGTAGTTAAGACCCGCGTTCGTTCCCCAACGCTCATTCTGAGCTGTGATTGCAAATAATCCGCCTTTGAACGGTGACTCGAATGTCCGTAGACGCCGCCGCTCAAGCAGAGAAGTGTCATCGGGCGTTTTTAAAGTTTTCCACAGCTCAGTCACTCAAACATCAACATCGACGGGCTTTCCTTTTATTTCCGTCACGACAACGTTTTGTTTCCTGCAAACACTGAACGCTGAGCCAATTCAGACAGACCCCCCCTCCCTCCCCCCTCTCCGGTCTATGTCGTCATCCAGTGTCACGTTTAACTACTCCCTGTCCCCTTCCAGAACAAGATTCCTTTGTTTTTGTTCCTCTTTAGGTAATTTATTCTAATTTATTTTCTGTATATTTGCTCAGTGCTACTGTATAGATGCGATCTCAGTGTGTACAGTCCCTTTCTCCCCGTTGTTGATGCGCATTCAGTTGGTGTGCTTGGTGCCTGCGTGTCGGGAGGCTGGACTGAAGCCCCGTGCCTCGTGCGTTCTCACAGGGACAACAGCAGACAATCAAATGTACAAAAAAAACGAAAACGAAAACGTGCCTTCGTGAGTGACAGACCTGCCACGTCGCCGTCGACACGCGGCGTTATGATTATTGGCCAAAGTCGACTTGGCCGCCGAGCTCCCGTTCCGCTCGGGCTCCGTGGGGGGAACAGCACGCTCCGCTACGGTGGAGTCGGCACAAACAGTACGCCGTGTGCGTGGTGCCTTGATACAAACAACAACAACTACACACACACACACACACACACACACACAAAAAAAAGCATCTGTTTCACGAGGCACAGGCTCGACCTTTGACATCTCTCAGCACCCAACGGCGAGTTTCACCCTTTCTAATATCAGAAACGACTGTTTGCAATCAATGTGCACTGTTTTATTTTTTTCTTCTCCTGTATACTGTTTTCTTTCTACTCCTGGGACCCCCCCCCCCCCCCCAACACTCCCCCCTCCCTCTAGAAACTCTTAAGATCTGTGATATGCTGGATGGGCCCGGTCTCGTCTGGGTCTTTGTGCTTTATTATCTACAATCTAGAAGGGCTGCGGGTTTACATTGGAAGGAGGAGCGAGCCGCCGCGGTGCCCCGGTGTTATTTGTGCGTGAGACGGGTCCCGTCGTCACCAACCCGCCGCCGCAGCGCCGACTCGGGTGGAACATTCGTTATTCGTTCAACCTTCAGTGTCTTTAATATCAAATCAGTTTTTTTTATTTTTCATTTTTGAATATCCAAGAACGAGTGCATCTTAACTGTCAAGTGCTGTGATTTGGTGTTTTTTTATTTTTTTTTATTTTATACATTTGACATGAATTTGACACGGCCGTCGTCGCTATCTTTATAAAACATTTCGGGCTAAGATTTTCCACATCTTTTTATAAGAAGACGGAGAACGAACTACAACAGCGCAACTTTTTTGCTACGATTGCTTTTTTTTCCAATGTTGTGGGATTTTTTTTTTAATTTGGGATATCGCCAAGTCTGCTGTGTCACTCTCAGTTCAAGGGCTTTTTTCAATATATGTAAATGGAGGTAAAAATGCATGTACAACATTCCTCAAAAAATGGTATCGTAAAGGTTTGAATGTAATTTAATGGAGTGAAAACCTCGATATCTCTTTCAACACATGAACTGAACAGTGGCGCCCGATTCAGACTCTGGAGTCGGTGTTGTCTTCACATTTCTTTCTTTACGTTCAGAGTGGTCTCAAGGATTTCACATTCACGTGTCCTAATGAAGTGAGACCCAGTCCAAATGTAGCAGTTTTTGTTGAAGCACTGGCTGTGTTATCTTTGGGACCGCTCTGTGTCCAAATGAAGCGACGGAGGGAACGAAGGAGGACGGGGACGTTTGTTCTTTTTCTAGTGCAATATGCTGTACATAAGAGCTTGACTCGAAAAATCTTACATTTCTCTTACATTTTTTTGTTCTGTTGTTGAATGGGTACATGGCTGTTTTGTTTTTTTCATTAAAACTTCATGGAAAATGTAAATGGCTTGTGCTTCATTTCATTTACTGAACGAAACCCTGAAGCATCTACACCAGGGGTCTCAAACTCAAATCAGCTGCGGGCCAGATGCAGCCCACTTCAACCGAACGAGGGCCAGACTAGCGTCCGAACGGCATGGTCGACAATAACACAACTTAACACTCACTTTCAAAAGCAGTCATTGAACCCCACCCTGGGGGATCGGTCCGAATGAGACTACAACACTAGTCCTCCTTTAACTCAGCGGGGGAGACCTAAGGTCATGTGACCGTGGAATTCCTTTATAGCCAAACGTGAAGTTACGTGAATCGAAGCTGCGTAGTAATGGACGGAGACGCTCGTCGGTGACGTCAGATGCTTCATGTGTTGTTAGTGTGAGTCGTAAAGGAAAACTTTATTAAACGAGCGATGCTAACGGTTAGTCACATGATCACCTGCGCGAAAGAGGGCAGGAAACTGAATTTCACCCTCCTGCTCTCTGCACCTCGGCCGACACACACGACCCGCCCCCCATGTCAGTCACATGCATGCCACGTTCACTGGACAAGCACACAGTAGGAAACCAGAACATCACACACAGCAGCTGACAGTGGGGTTACAGTATAAAACTTGCGGGCCGCACTAACATTACACTTTCATATTAAGGATGGGGCCACAAAATATGGTCCCGAGGGCCGCAATTGGCCCGTGGGCCGCGAGTTTGAGACCCCTGATCTACACAGTTGAGTTTAAATAACAGAAAGCTCCCACATAGTGAACGGTCTTTAGATACTGTGGCATGGTATAAATACATATATATATATAATATACATTAAAGTAAAAAGCTACGCACGCCCTGAAGCACGGCCAGCTGCGTCGCCCATTTCAATACAAACGTAACCATTGACAACGAAACGAACATCACAGAGCATCGGAGGGGATGTTGAACCGGCAATAAAGACAACATTAAACATTGTTTACGATGTCTCACAGTCTTCTTTTTGTCAAGCACAGGAGACGCTCCCTGCTGTCCGTGCACGGCTGCGATTGAGCCTAAAACCCCCGGAAATGTGTCGGCCTTTTTGCACACTCGTCTGAAACTGAATTGTTTTAGGCTTCTGGTTCCCTGCCTGAAAGAAAAAAGCTCTGTGGTAGACACACATCAGTGGGCACCAAGCTTTTACCTGTTAGAATAGGCGTTGCTATCAGGTCGAAAGATTTGACTATCAAATCATGACACCAACCAGGCCTCCTGTCCTCGCCGTGTGTACTCACGCTCATGTGACAATGCCGCAGCTTGTTCACGGGCCAACGTTAGCTTTTTAATTCTGCCGATTGCATTCACGGTTAAAACATTATCTCAACATTATCTTACTGAATAAAAGCTTAATCGTATACGTGTGTGTCCCAGGGTAGTTATCTTCTGAAAAAGTCTTTAATCCGAGGGGGAAAATCCCAACGGTCCTCTGGCGAGGGAACCAGTGCGACTCCCAACTTCGTGACTTTTGAATTAAAACCACTTATATGATTTATCAGCAGTGATTTGAACCCAATTAAAGCCCCGAAAAAGTGAGTTCAGCATGAGCAATAGAAGCATCTCATGGGCCCCCGGATGAAATGACGTTTGTCAGCACATCACATTTTTCACGCCGTGACCTCTGGTGGAAAGGTGCAACCTGAGTTACACTGCGATTCACTCCTCTGTCACCAAAGCAATCTGCTCCCGGCAGCTGCTCGGACGGCAGCAGGGAGGCGGGTTGAAGGAGTGTAAGTGTGCCGCGTGGGGGAGTGCAGAAACACTCAGCCTGAGGGAAAGAAAATCCATGTTTTCAAAGCCTAATCATCAAGATTAACATATTGCACCGAGTTGTGCTTTATGGAGCGCTGAGGCTTTCTTAAGGTATTTGAGAGTCACTGTATCTAAAAACAGGCGCTCAAGTTAAATGAGAGCCCTTGATTCCCTTGAGGAAAAGTTGTCTTATAATATATTATAATTTGGGATTGCCAAATTGCTTCAAAGAACGATGTCATACTGTTATGCACTCCCAGGCGTCCTTAGAATTCGCCACATAATGGAGGTAATAAGATGTTATCGTGTCTTCCTCCATATGTCAACCTATTGGGAATTTTTTATTTATGTGAAAAATCCTGATTTTGCCCGACAGTCAAAAGAAATAATAGGATTCCTGGTGTGCTTTTGGCAGAACTTGATCGTGAAAATTGCCGGCGGACCAGTTTGTTGTGCACGAAACCAGCTGTGTTGATCTTCGTCCTGGTTTAGAGTTGAAGACCAGACTTTTTTGTCATAAGTGATTCTCTCAAAGTTGAGTTGAATGCCAACTCTTTTGCTGCAGATTATATTAAAGCTTAACGATGCATCCCAGAATGCATCGCCAGCATACACAGCCCTTAACCACAAAACCAGCTCTGTGTTCGCCTCCCACCAGCTGAAGTGAAAGCCTCGTCCCCTGGGACTGCTGGTAAATACAGACAAGTGTGTGTGTGTGTGTGTGTGTGTGTGTGTGTGTGTGTGTGTGTGT